AAAAGTTATTTTGGCTCATGATTTCAGAGGGTTTAGTCCATGATTGCCCATCTCCAAGGCAAAAGCATCATGGATAAAGGCACAGCAGAGCAAAGCTGCTTGATTCATGTCATCCCGAAAGCAGAGAACAGGGGAAAATCCAGAGATAAAAGTGCCAGGGACCTGATATAGTCCCTAAGGTCACACCCCATGACCCACTCATCACACACAGAAGTGTGATTCACTCATATTCTAGGCCACTCCTGAGCCAATTAAGTTGACAGTGAAGATTAACCATCACAGTGGTCAAAGTGTTCTAGCCCTTTGGACAGATTCCTCTGACATACTCTGTTACGGTTTAGATCTCCAATGTCCTCCAAAGTCTCATGTGCTCAGAGGTGGGGCTTTTGGAAGGTAACTGGATCATGGGGACGCCATACTCATGGGTGGATTCATCCACTGATGAGCTCATAGCTGAATGTGCTTTCAGGAGGTGGAGAAAGCAACCCCTGAGGACATGGCTCTGAGTACATCTCTCATGCTGGCTCTTTCCTGTCTCTCTGCATCCTGGCTCCCATGGGTCCTTCTTTCATGACATGTCTTCCTTAGAGCCAGCACCATAGATGATCTGTCTGAACCTGTGATTCAAAGTCATCCTCTCCCCAAGTTTCACGTGTCAGATATTTTGTCCTAGTGATGGGAAAACTGACTAATACACACCCCCATCATTGTGGAGACTTTTGTGTATGTTTGTGTGTCTTGTAAAACACCTCCTTATTTCCTGACACCATGAGACACTCCATGTTCATCTTGTGAATTTCTTATCCCAACCTTAAAGCAGATCTCTCCAGAGGACGATTAAGACTGGATGTCTCCCCCACCAACTGTGCATCCACTGTTTCGAAAGTGAATATTTCCAGAGTTGGTACATATGAAGGTTAAGTACCAAAGTGAAGGCCCCAGGCAATTTTTGTTTTCCATTTTTCCTACTCTCAGTGTGTTGGCTCTTCCTTGTGGTTGGGCTCCTCTTGTGGTCTCTAAAAGGTTGCTATGGTTCCAGGCATCACCATCTCACAGGTGCACACCAGAATCTGAAAAAAGAGCACATCCTACTTCTTTCAAAAGCAAAGGAAAATTTCCCAGATGACATTTATCAGACTTTCCCTTGTATATCATTGGCCAAAACTGTGTCATGTGCCCATTCCTAAGCCAATGCTAGAGAGAGGGGTCCATTTTGTGTTGCTATACCAATAAAATGCCTGAGGCCAAGTGGTTCATAAAGAAAAAATGCATACTGGGTTGGGATTTAGCTCAGTGGTTCTGCCGCCTCACAAATGCAAGGTCCCAAGTTCAATCCCTAGTAAAAAAAAAAAAAGAAAGGAAGGAAGGAAGGAAGAAAGAAAGAAAGAAAGAAAGAAAGAAAGAAAGAAAGAAAGAAAGAAAGAGAGAAAGGATGCATATGTAGCTCACAGTTAGAGGCTGAAAAGTCCAAGATTGGCCAGTCACATCTGATGGCCTTGGATGAGGATCTCATGGCTGTGTCACAACATAGACGATGGCATCATGGTGGGAGTGCATGGAAATGGGAAAAGCATGCATGGAGGGAGAGGATGGGAGAAGGTAGGAGTGGGTGCTGGATCTTTTACAGCACCCACACTCATAGGATCTGACCCGGTCCTGCAAGAATGACGCTAATCCTTTCCCAGGATCTCCTCACCACCTCACTACAATCCCGCAAGGGACCAAGCTTCCTGCACGTGGACTTTAGAAGACACTCAAACCACACCCAAATCAGAGCAGAGGGAAAGCAAGACTCCCTACCCTGGGTCTGGAGCCACTTTAAGGCCCAGGTTATCTGAATAACATTCCCCCACTACACAGGACAATTGAAGCTAGATTTCTGTTCAAGTGAAATAAAGCAAGTGACAGTTGCATTTAAGGTCACTACCAGTGCCTGCTAGTATATCGACAGTGGGTGTAACTACCTCAGAAATGTGTCTTCACTGACAGAAGATCTCTGCTGAGATTTAGGCACAAAGAGTGTGTTGGAGTGGGTAATCACAGAGGTTTTGCTGAAGACAGTTGCAACACAAAGCACTCTTCCCTCATCCCATCCTCCCTGTTTTCCATTGTCTTCCTCGTGTTTTTATTGTTACTGCAGTCTTCCTCCCTGCCTCAGGGGCTTCTGTGACATTTCATGCTTTGGATCTTTTTTGTCCTCAAAGAATCTTTTAAATTTCTAAATTACTGGCCTCCTTGCAAGGCGCTCAACAATAAGATAAGCAAAACATCTAATGTCCTCACGAGCTCAGTGGGAGAGTTTAGGTCTGTCTCTGCCCTTGAATATTTTTGGTAGTTTGACAGAAGCACAATGAGAATCAATGAAGAGGAAATTTCTTTATTCACAAATAATAGCTACTGTGGGCTTCACGTGGGCTATAGGAAAGGGGCAGTTAGGAGAATATAAGTAGGAGGGAAAAAGAAAAGGCGATTCTATCTTCCAGACTTACAACACGCAAAACAATTAGGAAAAAAAGTAACGTTTCTTAGCATTACCGTCCATCCCAGAGAGGTTCACCTCTATTCCTACCTGCTCCTCCCGGAGGTTATTATAGCAATGACCACATGGGCAGCTAGAGGAAATGAAACTGTGAAGTCCTACAAGTTTGGATTTTCCGCATAGTAAGGTGCTTGGTGGGGAGTCCTTGCTGCCATTAGTTTATCTGCTCGGGCTCAATAGGAATCTAGCTCCCTCCATTCTGCCACCCTCCACTTGTTGACTTTATGTTTATTGCTTTATGATCACAAGACAGGTGCCATGACTCCAGGAATCAGGACTACATTCAAATGGGGCGGGGTTCAAGGAGGTGGCCAGATAAGGAAGGGTCTTCCCTTAACTGCTCCTGCCTTCTACCGGGGATCATGGATATTTTTCACAAGCCCTCACAGACTGCCCCTTTGTCTCGCTGATCCAAATCTTATCGCCCCCCCCACACACACACAGAGCTACACAGAGAACAGCAGTGTGAACACCTGCAAACAGTGTTAGCCAGGCTGCGAGGGGCTTTAAACCAATCACTGCTCATCCCTAGAAGTTAGACACATTGCTGGCCATGCTCCACCCTGTTCAAAAAATCAGTTGTTAGCAAGAAAGCAAGCAGAGAAATGTCAAGTAAGCAGGTCTCCCAACCTCATTCACACAGGGGTTTTTAATCCTCTTCCTCTCACCTGCAGGGTCTCACCAACCTCCTCTTCTTACCTATGATCAATTCATACATCAAGATCCCAGCTCCCTGACCTTGCTACCAGGACCAACAGGCTCACCGCACGTTGGGGCTTGGTTGAGTAATACAGTACTCTGGTGCAGGGGAGGCCAGGTCCTAGAATCTGCTTTCCTGAATTTGAAGCCTCGTCATGTTTCTTTTCAGTCATGGCTTTTTTGGAATTGATGTGATGCTCTATTAGTAAGGACTCATTTATTTCATCTATCCAATAAGCATTAATAGAATGGCTGACACAAAGCTGTCTCTCAATTTTAAAAGGATGGATGGATGGATAAGTGGGTGAGTGAATGGATGGGTAAATGGGTGGATGGGTGGAGGGAGGGATGGATAGGTGAAGGGATGGGCAGATGGATGGATGGGCCGATGGATGGATGGATGGATGGATGCATGGGTGGGCTGATGGACGGATGCATGCATGGGTAAATGGATGGATGGGTAGATGTGTGGATGGTTGAATGGATCGTATCTGCCCCCAGAGAACCACTGAGAAGATAAATGAGATAATGTATATGAAAAGATCAAACACCTACTGGCATGCAGTAAATACTCCTTAGATGCAGGTAGAAACTCATTGTATCACCACCTACTTCAAAACCTTCACAACTGCAGCTGTCCTTAGGGGAAAGGATCAAGTCCAAACTGCTTGAACGATCTGGCCTTTGACTACTTCTCAGTCCTCTCCCTTCTTGTTCCATCACAGTGTCTCCCACCCCAGCTCCTGCACATCTTCTCCTGCCACCTGCAGTGGATGACATTTATTTCCTGCTCTTGCCCTGGCTTAGGAGTCTCGCCCCTGGGATCCTTTATTCTGCTCTTCTCACAGGCTGGGCCAGGGAAGGCTCAAAGTGAAAGGGAAGTCAGGAGCCAAAGCACTTGAGGAGAAGGTAATCAGGGAGAATTTTTGGAGCTGGGAAGCAGGAAGCATCCTCTCCAGTTTGCACCTCACGGCCCAGGGCTAAGCAGGTGAGAACATCAGCAGGGCTTCTCCTATCCTGAGCCTGGGAAGTCATGGGTGCCAGGGTTGCAGATGAGACCAGGATATGGACTAGGAGGAGCTGCCAAGAAAAAGCAGGTTCCTCAAGGAACCAGGCGCTGAAAGACTCCAGAGAGGCCCCGTAATTACCTGGGAATGTGCAATTTGCCAAGAGTTGCAGTTGGAATCTCCTGAGATCCCTCCTGGCGTAATAGCCACGTCTTCGCACATAAAAAAAGTTATTCAATATTCAAGCTTCTGTGTCTGAGGTATTTCACTTAATGTTATGATCTCAAGGTGCATCTGGAAGTGACCAGATGTATTCTTCTTTATGGCAGAGTAGTATTCCACTGTGTATAAATGCCATGCTTTCTTTATCCATTATGAGAAACCTAAGTATAAATTTTTTTTTTAAAAAATAGCTGGGCATGGTGGTGCACACCTGTAATCCCAGCACTCAGGAGGCTGAGGCAGGAGGATCACCTCGAGTTCAGAGCCAGCCTGGGCTACATAACGAGTTCCAGGCCAGCCTGAACGACATCGCGAGACCCTGCCTCAATAAATAAATAAAGCTAGACGATAGGAAACAGGGAGAGAGATCTTTGGCAAATGGGAAGAGGTTCCAGAGACCAAGGGAACGGGGAAGGAAAGGACGGGAAAGGCAAGAGAATAGAGAACTAAGATATGTTAAACACACTCCCCACTCTGATGGATGTAAAGAGCATGCACTGAAAATTGAAAAAACAAAGTCACATCGTACACACCTCGCACGGCCAAAGCTGAACCGCTCACCTTCTCTTCCTGAGCTCGCTGTCCGCTGTCCGTTTCTGGCCCTGTCACGTTCCCTGGACAGTGGACTGCTGAGCCTGCTCGCGGCGGTTCTCACGCTATCCCACCACGGCCAGCCCCATGGCCCACTGCGCATGCCCACACCCTCACTGTCTCCTGGGCTTCCCCGCACCTCTGGCTACTTCCTGTCTGTCGGTGCATCCTGCGTACCGTTCCGAGCCTGGGTCCCTTTCTGAACTGCCCCTGTGCTCCCCTCGCTGCGTGCACAGGCAACGTCCCTGGCCCTCTGCTCCATTCTTCCTTAAGTCCAAGTGTCTCTGTTGGAGCCCTGGACCCTCCCCACCCTGTTCCAGATCCTCCCGTCCCTTCTGCCCTTTGGCCTTCTCCATCCACCTTTTCTTTTCCTTGTTTTAAAACTGCTCTACAAAGCTAGGCGTGGTGGCACACTCCTGGAATCCCAGCACTGGAGAGGCTGAGGCAGGAGAATCACTACAAGTTCGAGGCCAGCCTGGGCTGCACAGTGACTTCAAGGCCAGTTTGAACTGCATAGTGGGACCCTGTCTCAAAAAGAAATAAAAATAAAAATTCAGAGTGTGTGTGTGGGGGGGGGTGCCCAAGAGCTGCACAAATTATTACAAAGACAACACCTGCGATGCGAAGCTACAACTCACAGTAAGACATTAAGGGTGTCCAGTTTGCCAGGACTTCCTTCTCCCCTGTTCCCTCACCTCCTCCTTCCTGCTGCTAGGGGCTGAGGCTCCCTGGCATTCCCATAATCATTCCCTTGATTCCTTTGTAGTTTCACCGCCTCTTCCTAAAGGATGCATTGTTCAGTGTTGCCAGGTTCTGAGTTCTCTATGGATTACGTCATTCTTCGTTTATGTGGCTGTGACTGGATGCTCCTTTTTTGACAGCTTGAGACACAATTCCCAGACCCTACAATTCACCCACTTAAAGTGTACGGTTCAATGGTTTTAGTATATGTAGAGCAACTATTGCCACATTCTAATTTGAGGGAAATTGCATCACTCCCCCATAAAATCCTGACACTCCTTAGCAGTTACTCCAGCTTCCTCCCCATCTCCCAGCCCCAGGCAGTCACAGCTATGGTGCCTGCTCTGCTCTACCGCCTGCCATAGGCATCACATGCATTTGGGTACTCTGTGCTGGCACACAGCTGACCACACTGTGCCTCATGCACTGCCACGCCTGCCAGTTCTGGAGATCGAGAGGTCCCAGATTGAGGGCTGGCATCTGACACCTTCTTGCTGTATCGTAACATGCTGGGAGGCATCACAAGGTGGGAAGACAGAGGAGAGGCAGAGACAGTGGGCGGGGTCTAAACTAGTAGCTCCAAGCCCATTTATAGCTGTCATTAATCCATTCATGAGGACAGAGCCTCTGCATAAATACCTCAAAACACTGTCATGCTGGAATTAAGTTTCCAACACATGCTTTTCAGGGCACAGTCAAACCATGGCGAGCTGTAATCAGAAAAGCAATGTTCTTCTCAGCCCCAACTGCCTGCTCTTTTGGGCTGGGTCTTCCCTGTTGCTGGGTGGAATCTCAGGTAGACCCAGATTCCTGCTGATTCTCCACAACAGGTAGCCTGTGGAGTCAGCAGATCTCTGCTTTGAAGTCCATGCCTTCCCCTGGTCGGCCTCTGGCCTCTTTCTGCCCGGGGGCTCATGGTTGGCTTCTTTACCCTTTCCCCCACCTTAACTGGATGCCTCTTCTCCTCTCCTCTTGGCGAGGGTCAGGGAGGGGCTGAAGAAATGGTCTTTAGTTGTGAGCGCCTGGCTCCTGGAGAAAGCCAGCTCCTTCCCCAGCCTTCTCTCACCCCCGGGGAGATTTTTCACCTGCCATGCCTTGGACTCAGGCAAAAGCCTTGCATCTACTGAGTCCCTTAAGAGCTCTCCCTTGGTCCCTGGTCACCTTGCACTGGTGCCTCTCTGTGACATCCCCACAGGACTCTCTGTCACATATCTTTGGCCTGAAGTTGGGAGAAGGGTAGCACATAGCCTTCTTTGTGACTTCAACCAGCTTCTTGCCCTCAGGCATCCACATGTGTCCTCAACCTCTACATACCCTGAGTCATCTAAGCTCCTGGGAACTCCTAGTAGGCTCTCCAAAGGCGTCCTTGAAGCCACTCTCACAGGTTTGAGGAAGGAAGGCAGCGCCCCACCCTCCTTCGTGGAGGAATGGAACTATTCCGTGGTGCCCGTTTCTCTTCAAAGACACCCTCTACTGCTCTCAGGCCCTCTGTCCCCCTTGCCTGCATTCTGCATTTAGGCTCCAGCTGGGTGCTCCAGGACCTCTGGGCTGGTTTCCAATCCCCTCCTTTGCAAGTCCTGCCAAGGAAACTGTGTCCCTCACTTTGGAATGTCATTGTTCTTTCCACCTATTGACTTGGGGACTCAGTCAAACTGAGACAAGATCTCCATTCAACATCCTGCTCTGGCCTTAATCCCTCAAAGACTAGAAGCTCCTGGAAGAAACAGCTCTGCCACCCTCAACCTCACTGCTTCTGCCCCTGGTAGCTGGTGCGTAGAGATGCCAACCTCTCGGTGCTCATAGGTATCTCAGAGGAAACAGCAAAGGTGACAACCCAGCATCATGAAGAAGATGGAAGAAGACAGCTGCGAGAGTTCAAGTCTGTAGTAATGACCCAAAGGGAGGCTTTAGAATTTCCACATTTGAAGGAATACGGGCTTGGAAGCTGTGCTTCAATGAAAGCCAGAGATAAAACCAGTGCAGTTGCCTCTGGCCTTGGGTCAAAAACAAGTACAGTGGGCCCCTGTATACATGGGCTCTGAATCCATGGATTCATCCAACCACAGATCAAATGTATTTTTTTAAAATTGCATCTGTACTGAATACATACAGATTTTTTCCCATCATTATTCCCTAAACAGTATAGAATAGTAACTATTTTACATAATATTACATTGTGTTAGATATGATAAGTAGTCTAGAGATGATTTAAAGTATACAGGAGGATTGTGTAGGTGATGTGCAAATGCTACAGGATTTTATATGAGGACTTGGGCACTCTAGGATTTTTGGTATCTACAAGGATCCTGGAACAACTGCATATAACAAGTAATGTTATACAGATTGGTCTTATAATGCTGAGGATGCACAAAATAGGAATAATGAGGCTTAAGAGGGTAGAAAGAATCCCTCTCACAGCATCTAGCTCCTTCCAATTATTTTTATAGATAACCCTATTCCTGAAAATCAGACCTGTCATCAACTACTCCTCTGGGATATTAAGCAATATAGTGGTTCCTTTGTTATGGCCTGGCCAAGTCTTGTGCTCGGGTCTCGGGCACATGGAGAAGCAGCATTTATTAGCAAAATGAAGAGTTCTGGGATTAGAAGCTATTACACAACATGTCAAACTTCCATCTACGGAATAGATGCTGGAGCTACTCTGAGAGCTGGATCTCATAGCTTGGCAGTCAAGGTCGCTGTTACATTCTGAATTCACAGGGTCTCATCTATTCTCATTTGTCAAGCCCTTGTTGAAGCTGGCTAGGAATCCTGGTTAAGGCCTCCAAGCCTGTCCCTTCTACTAAAGACCTCTCTCTGGGGCCATAGCTCCCAGCCTCTTCTTTAAAGGTCCACTTTAGAAATGGCCCAGAATCATGACCTCTCCCTCTACTCATTATTGATAGTGACTCGACCTCCCAAAAACCTTCCTAATGTGTGACTTCGCCATCACTTCGCACGTCACTTGTACAGAACACCTTCACCATTGGTTCACCTTCTGGGCCTCTCTTATCTGCTTGGCCTCCAGTGTAGATGCCTGTTAGGGCTGAGCTCTGTCTCCTTAGAATTCCTGTGCTGAAGCCTTACCCCACTCCCAGGACCTCAGAGGGTGAATGTATTTGGACACAGGGTATTTAGAGGTAGTAATCAGTTAAAATGAGGTCTTTAGGGTGGGTCCTAGACCCACGTGACTGGTGTACTCATAAGAACTTCAGACACAAGCACACATCTGTGCATATGCACACTTGTGTGTGTGTGTGGGGGAGAGAATATATGGAGAAAGGGAGAAGGTGCTATCTAAAGCCATCAACTCAAACTTCAGAAGGAACCTGTCTTGTTGACACTTTGATCCCAGAATCCCAACTTCCAGGACTGAAAAACTACATTTCTGTTAGGCCACTTCGTAATAGCAGCCATACCAAATGAATACACTGCCCATTAGCATCTCACACAAGGGACTGCACATTCCCCTCCCTAGAACGCTTCTCCAGCCCTCACACTCCCCATTTCCCTTGGAGTCAAGTTTTAAATCCTTAACTCGGAACATCTAGCTCTCCTCCAAGCCTAACCTGCCACTCTGAAGTCCTCTGCTTATCTACTTGCCAGATCCCCACCAGCCCTGACCCCATAGCCCAACAAATGTATCAGCATCAACCTCAACACAGTGCTCCAGCCACCTCCCTGACTTAGCGTAGATTGTCACCTCTGTGTGCCTTCTTTATCCTTCAAGACCCCATTCAAATGTCATCTCCCTATGAAGTCTGCCCTGCACCTCAGGCAGTTTGTCCCCCATCCCTGTGTGCCCCAAAACACTTTCTCTATTACTTACCTCTTTAGGATGTGCTTTCTTGAAGGCAGAGATAGGGCTTTAGTCATCCATGTAACTGTAGCACATAAGAGGTACTCAATAAATATTTTTTGAATGGCTGGTGTTATGGACTGAATGTCTGCACCCTCCAAATTCCTGCCGAACCATTAAGTCCGGTGTGATAGTATGGTCATCCTTCACTATCTGAAGGGAATTGGCTCTGGAACTCCTCACAGGTAGCAAAATCTGAGGATGTCTAAATCCTTTACACAAAATGATGTAGTATTTACATATAATCTACATACATCCTGCCATATATTATAAATCATCTCTAGATTATTTGTAATACCTAACACAAGCTAAGTGCTGTGTAAATTAGTTCTGTACTGTACTGCTTAAGGAAAAATGATGAGAAAAAACTATGCCCATGCTCAGTACAGTGTTTTCCAAATATTTTTAATCCATTAGG